CAAGATTAACTACACTTAGTTAGTTGTTTAATTATCATGTTAGTGGGGCTCATTTTCTTATTTATTTATTATTAGTTCGTGATATTAAATGACAATACTAACATGATATCACTATTATAATGAATATTTTCTCCAAAAATAATATGAATTATTAATTATAATTTAAATAAGGTCATGATTTACCTAGAGCCTCATAAATTTTAATTTTTTTTCATTGAATATTACTAAATATTTTGTTTCCAATATTTAAAAGAGAAAAAATATACAATATAATGATGATATTAAATGGCATCTACCAAATCACTTGTAGATCAATTAAGAGGTTTAATGAATCTTAATTCAATTTGTTAGATATTGAATATAGTATATAATGAAATAGTGAGATTCCACTATTTGGATAACTAATTATTAATACCACTCATCAATAATCAAAATACTGCACAATGGGACCTAATAAATTTAATGATGAATCATAAAACATTTGAAATCTTTATATATCATTTGTTTCTTTTTTTTTTTTTTGGGCTCAACGATCAATAATTTCTGGATTAACTTGAACGCACCTTGACTAGTTCCCTCTTCAGTCCTGTCAAATACAAACTATCCATGCAAAAACTTGGGTATTCGTGAGGAATTTGACACCATAATGATAACAGCATCATTGGTCCTTGTTTTTTGTTTTTTTTGTCTATCACTTTTAACATTCCTCATTTTTATTTGCATTCAAGAATTACCCGCGGAAGAGACATCTCTTGCCTTTTTTTTAAAAAAATTAATGAATAAATATTCAATAATATAACATTAATTCCATGTCTGGCATGACAANTTTTAAGTTTTTGAATCTGAATTTTTTTTAATCTGATTTGGGCATGTGTTAATTTGTCGAATCTGATTTTTTTTTTTGATTTTTTGTTCATATTTGATTCTTAATTTTCGTATATGTTGAAAATCCTTTAATTCAAATCTCTCTCTCTCTCTCTCTCTCTCTCTAAATTTGATTCAAAAGTGTGGACTCATTCCACCCGATGATCGAACAGAAACCGATCGACACATAAGGTTGGTTGTCGGCTCGGTCGGTTGTGTGGTTCGGCTCAATTCAGTTTATCATTCACACTTCCGACTGCTTACGGATCGGCCAGCGGATGTTGACACTTCTGACCCTATTTGTCAGTTGAACACTCCTGCTTGTAAAGACTTTGCCTTCTCAAAAAGGTCAAAGTGAAGGGTTCAAGTCTCCCTTCCCCTCCCCTCATTTTTTTCCCAAAAAAATAAAATATAAAAGGTTATAATTAACAAAAAAAAATAAAAATGTAAGGGTCAAAGTGACACAAATTGAATATTTTATAGGCAAAATTGATACAATAAGTATTAAATTGATAAAAATATATATATATATATATATATACTTTAGGGACTAAAAATTCTATTAACTTAAAAATTAAAGGGCTGATTGGCTTGATTCTTGAAACTTGTTTTTGTTCTCAACACTTTAAAAACAATGAAAACTTATTTGCTTTGAGTCTTTATTCTCCGATTTTCGAAAAAATAAGGGAAATAGAGCATAAAAAAAATAAATAAGCCAGACTTGTTTTCAATCTCATTTTGGCAAAAACTTTGAAAACACGGAGGTCGAGTTACTGTTCAATGCTTGGATAATGCTTAGAAAGTTCTGAATACAATACCTGAGAGAGATTGTTGAAATGTTTTCCGGTGAAACATTCAATTCAAACAACATTTGTGTCTTCATTATTCTCTNATTCTTTGTGGTGATCTGTGAACACCGTCAAAAGAGAGTACTATAGCAAAGAAAAAAAAATGTGCATTAAGAGTAGTTGTAATGTGCAGTATCCATGGTAGAAGCAGCTAACTAACTTCATTATTTGATCAATTGCTCGTATATATTTGACGACATGTTAGTTAAACTCAAGATAAAAAAAAGAAAAAAGAAAAAAAAAAGTTAAACCCAAGATAAGCTATGAGTTCTTGTTTGGTGGTTACTTCCCAGCACTGGTATGTACTAGAATGGTAACATAGACACAAAATCTTGGTTGATGTGGTGGTACAGAACTGATAAAACAATTATGTAGTTAAGCTGCTTTTGTTTTTGTTTTTGTTTTGTTTCATCACTTCATGAGAATTGCTCAAATCAACTAGGTTTGATTAAAAGGAAGGAACTTTTTATACTTGATTTTACACAGTAATGTGGAGTTTTCTTGGGGAATTTTTTGACTCTCAGCCGAGAGTAACCAATAGAATTCATGTGGTCATTTCTCTTAGTCCTTACCTCTTGCTGAAATTGTGACCTTCCTTGAGCAGCATCTGGACGTAGGACCTTTACTGCCACCGGTGTATGATCAAGATAACACTTATAGACAGGGCCATAACCTCCTTCCCCAATCTTCCGAGATTCAGCAAAATACNCCAAAAACACAGATTGGTGTTGTCCGTAGGAAATCTGGACCCAATTTTTTTTTGTCAATGATCTTTCTATGAAAAGACTCATTCATGACAAGTAAGATGTGGGTAAATATGAGTAAAAAAGAACAAAGTACCTTTATTAATGCCAGATCAATGATTCGTGTTGTTTGTCTATTTTTGTTTTGTTTTGTTTTGTTTTTTTTATCAGCTTTGTCGTATTACAAACAACATTGGAAAAAAAAAAGGGTCTAACCTCCTTGAAGAGCAGCTTTCACATCTTCAATTCTGGTGGTGACAAACTCCACAAAACTCCAATAAGGTTGTCTTTTCTTGCTTGGGTCTGGAAGGCGTTTTCGTCCTATGATGAGGAGGCGTAGCAAAGGTTGCTTCTCTATATTGACTACCTATAATCATTTGGTAAAATGTTGTCCTAATTAGTACAATGCTGTAATGGCCTTCTTCTAGGTTGAATATCTACTAATAAACAGCAATGAATAGGCGGAGGATTAATATTTTTATTTTTTTATATTTTTGGTTCACGGGTATTGGAACTAGAGTATTTACCTCATTGTCCGACTCTAATGTTCCGTTTGGTAAGAATGATAGAAAGTAGGAACGATAGAAAATAAGAGTAATACACTTTTTATCCTTCAAAGAAGGAAAATAGAAATGATACACTTTATTTCCTTTGTGTTTGATAGGATGACTGAAAAATAAAAATAACTATTTTTTTTTTGTGTTGGCTAAGATTAAGGTTGAAAATCGAGTCGTGTCTTATCAGATTCATGTTGTTTGTGTCGAATATTAATCAAATCAAACTCAACTCATTTAATTAATTCATGTTGAGTTCGAATCGTGTTGAGTCGAAAATTTTCACCCCTAACTAAGATAGAAAAAAATATATTTTTTTAATTTAAAATTTTTANTATTTTGTTGTAGCCATCTCAGTCATCATAATTAAAATCTGATCCTTGCACAGATAAATTTTCCAGTTACTAACAAATGCTCACACTTATAACCATTTAGGCTCTTTATTGCAATTTTTGATGCTATTCTGTGCAGGGTATATCTCTATAATATTGATGTGTCTAAAATCTTTANTTAATATATATATATATATATATATATATACATATTTTATCATTGTTTTTTTATATGAAATTAATATATACATCATATATATGTATATGTAAAAAGATACATAGACAAATAAGATACTTCTAAACACAAATAATTAATTTTTCATTCACTTTCCTTCTAATTTTGGAGGAATTAATTTTAATGAATTAGAAGAAAAGTTAACTCATATACTTTTTCATCATTCATATGTTCCTTCTTTACTAAATATAATATTTTATTTATCCCTCTAACTTTTTATTCTTCTATTTTTTTATCATATCAAACGAAACACAAGTAATTATCAAGATTTAATTTATTGACCTAATGAACCAACAGTGACCCTAATATTAGTTGGGACTCGTTTCCAATTGAATGACTCTGATGCATTAATTTAATAAACTAGGTCAAAAATAATATTTTTGAAAGTATAAACCCAATGATAATCAACAGGTTTAACATGCACAGAAAAGCATGGGTGAGTCTCCTGCTTATTACCGCGCTTCCATGTCCACCTTCACTTGCACCTTCCTTCCCAGAAGTACTGCCGGCTGCTTTTTTGGATACCATTTTGGCACCTTCCTTACCGGAATGTGGGTCTTGCTTCTCTTCAACGGGCCTCTGGCCGGACTCCGGCCGGAGAACTATGTACAACCTCTGCACATCATCAGGGCTGTGTGCTCCTTCTTTGTCCACTTTAGGCCTGTAAAAGAAGAATATTTCCCCCCTTTCCTGCAATATTCATCACACCCCACACACACACACAGACCAATTTTACACCACCCTAATTATTTCAACTGAGTAAACCCCAAGCAATCATGATCGAATTTAATACAGGGAAAAAAGTTAGAGAGGGAGAGGGAGAGAGAGAGAGAGACCAGGATATCAACTTTAGGTTGGCTTTTGGTCTTCAATACTTGGCCTTGTCCTGCCATGTCTGCGAGCGAAGTGGTGGTTAATCTTTCTTGACCGCTTCTGCGCGATGAAAAGAAAACAATTACCTTGTCTCTTGGCTTTGCTATATTACTGCAACCGAAACAGGGTAGAGGGGATAGAGAGACTATGACAGGACACGTGCTGAGAGAGAAGTAACCAATTTGACACCTTCCTTAAAATCCACCCGTCTGTTCCCAGACCGCCACGTCACTTGGAGAATGTAACATCACGTTCTGTGGGCCCAAGTCGAGTCCGACCGACAATGTCGTGTCGACGAACGGAGATACCGTGGAACTATTGTGCCAAAAAAATAGAGTAAATCTATCTACCTATAAAAACAATCAAATAAAAGGTGGGTCCTCATTTTCTATTTAAATTTTAATTCAAATTTTAATTTTTTTTTTCGATTAGATGCTGACATATGTCATTAATAACTAGCTACAACTTCT